TCCAGGGTCTCACCACCCTCACAGTGAAGAATTTCTTCCTAATATCTAATCTAAATCTACTCCCTGCGCGGTTAAAGCCATTCCCCCTTGTCCTATCAGCTGTGGTGGGCACTTCCCCAGTTCTACTGCACCCACAGCCAAGGAGGGATCATGATGGGGCAAAGCAAGCAGGGACACGGGTGGGCAGCTTCCTTCATTACCTGTTCTTGGCAGTGATGTAGGACATGATGTTCTGGTTGAAGAACTTCAGGATGAGTGGGATGCAGTTGGCAAAGACGAGGTGCTGGGCCATGTACTCAAACTGGGGAGAAAGGCGAGTGAATGGGGGCCCAGTTTGGGTCCTGCCTCTCCCCGAAGCCTCAGGCAGGGTGGCTGGACCCTGACCCTCCTCACCTGGTAGATGTGGTTCAGCTTGAAGTGCTTGAGCAGGAGGAGCAGCACGGCAGAAATGGCTTTGACAATGATCTCCTTGTGCCGATTGACATCCACCCCCAGCTTCATGCTCTGCAGCACCGTGGTCCTGAGGGACACAGAGGGCTCCTTGGGCTGGGGCACTGTGTGCAGACAGCCCTGCAGCACCCCACTGAGGAGAAGATGAGGAGATCACCCAGCAGGACCTCAACACAGCCCCAGCCCAACCCACACCACCCTTCCCTTCCCCTCCCAGCAGCACCTCTGCTCACCCCCCCATGGTCACTCACGGCATCTCCTCTGGCAAGACATCTGCCAGGATGTTGATGGAGTCTGTCTTGGCTTTGGAAGTGGGGGCTGCAGCGAGGAGGATCTTCAGCAGAGCAATCTGGGGAGAAGGGAGGGATGGGCAATGGGATGGGAACCCCCCTGCAGCAGGGAGTAACAGGGGTGTGTATGGGGGGAACCTGGGGGCACCACTGGAAAGGGATGGAGCAGTGGAGGGAAGCCACCTCCACCAAGCCCAGGGACCCCCAGAGCTCCCCAGCTCACCATGTACTGGGGCAGGCTTGGCAGCAGGCCCTGGTACAGGATCTCTGCAGGGACTTGCTCCACTTCTTCTTCTCCCTGGTGCCACAGAAGACAAGAAGCTGCCACTTGGTGCCATGGGCCTGGCTCAGCCCCAGGTCCCTGACCCCAAGGGCAGGATACCCCCAGCTCCTACCCAAAGCCTCCCCACACGACCCACCCTTCCCAGTGCACGAAATCCCCCAGCCTTGCCAAATGCCAAAGTCCTGACAGGACCAAATGCCCCCAAGCCCAGGATCTCCATCCCATCCTCATCCCTACACTCACTCCAGAGAGTGGGGAGCGCAGGAACTCATCTTCCATGTGCACTTGGACCTCTGCAATGGACGTGTACTTGTGCTGCAGAGAGAGAGCAGGGGGTCACCCCACGGGACCCTCTCGATGCCCCCAGCCTGGTCCCATCATCCCTCCCCGTTATCCCTGACTGATGCTGATGGGCAGGGGGAGCCAATTCCAGTAAGAAAGGGATGAAACCAGTAAGGAAAGGGGCTCATCCAGTCTGGGAGACCTG